ATACAAAACATATCCATAACTTAACCAAGGTTTTTGGTCATATCGTCAAGGTGTGACAGGAGCTTTAGCTATGAATGAGTGGATCCATCCTGAGGCAAAGCTATGCCAGCAGATAGATATTTGATTAAGGTAGTTTTCTGCTCGCTAGATTAAGCCCAGAACACATTGAATAGAGGTTGTGGCATTTAGCACTCGTAAGTCAATGGAGATGATCACATCCAACACGATTTCCTGCAGGGGGCAGCGTAGCTCCGACGGAGATAGACTTCAGGTCTATTTTAGTCAGACTAAGCAGCAATTCTGCAGCAATTTCATGGGTCTGACAGGAAGAGAGACGCGGTTACAAAGTAAAACACATCCGCTTTGGGGGAAAAACAAAATAAAATGTGTTAATCTCACGGGGAAAGAGTCAGTTTGGAGTCGCACATCGCGTTTATAGTGAGCAGGACAGACTGGAGCAAAAACAATGAATGAAACATTAAATAGAAAACTTTCCCCATGATAGGAGTTCAGGAGAACAGAAAACGGATAAAGTAGTGATCCTCTTTGAGCCTCACAGAAACCAGAATAAGGAGGAGCAGACAGAGCAGGTCAGAGCAGCGTATCTCTCTCACCTCTTCTTGGAAAAATGAAAGAAAAACTCTGATAAACTTCCCAGATCTCTCTCTGAGAATCACCTCTCAGTCACCATAGAAACCGTCAAACAGAGTTTATTGCTGCATTTTTCTTTTCTTTAGATCTCATTATGTTTTTAACAGATGAACATTCTCTATCTGTTCTGGTTCTAGATGCTGCACAGTGTCGTTAAGTGGAGCTTTGCTTTATAGAATGCACCGCTGTTTTTGTTTTTTTAAACAACCTTTCATAATCTGTCCAAGTTAAATGTGGGAAATTGTTTTAATGTGTTTATAGCACAGAGACGGGAGTGAATAAAATCTACACAGATCTGCTCATCCCGCCTAGCCGGAGCCTCTATAGACGCAGTCAGTGGGACATAGAAAACAGTCAGATCGGAGATTAAAAAGTCATTGGGATCGGTGTGTTCAGGGCTTTAGATGGAGAAGAGAGACGGAGGTGGACATGTACGCTTGCCTGGTATCGAGGATCATCAGGATGAACAGCGATGGCCACATCTCCAAGCATAGTCTCAGGACGAGTGGTGGACACTGCCACTTCACCGTCTGCTGAACAGAGAGGAACAAACGGATGGTTTTACAGACCAACGGCTTTAAGGTCTCCAGTCAGGATTACTCACCATGACCTTCTACAGGATACGCAAAGGTGAACATCGTCCCAAACTCCACCTGGTTCTCATATCCAGGGACGGACATCAAGGTCGGCCCAGAAACATCCTTAGTCTCCACCTAAATAAACATAAACTTAATTTTTTTTTTTTCTTTTGAGAAAGAGGATCCAAGAAAACAGGTGAGATAATCTCACCTAAAAATGTGGAATTAAAACAAGATGATAACATGGGGGGGGGAGAGAGGTTTAAAGACCATGACTCAGTGTTATTTGTCCCTTAGGATTAATCCTACAGGGTAATTATTGATTAGTCTGG